AACTCAGTATCTCCACCTACGCGCCAATAGTGGGGTCGCTCTCTAGATGTCCCACTGTTTAGGGAAGCTCCGGGAAAATCTGCCCAACAAACAAAAGCACCTGGACCCCCACCCGGCCCGTAAGGACTTCAGCCACAAGAACGACTATATTTGGTCTGAGCAAAGGACTTCCACGCTGGAAGGTGAAAAAAAACCAGTGTGGGATAATTTATCTACATAAATTTTAATTGAGGTGACTGTGCTATATTCCCTCTTAATAAATTTTGTTCTTTTTATGTCTAGTAAGGGAATTATGAGGAAATATTTAGTTTTCCCAGATTTCTGGGTGCATTTTTATTTTGTAATTTTTAAAGGAAATGTGCAAACTCATACGTTTTCCACGTGTGTTACTAGAGACAGAATTTAGCATGCAAAACCTTTATTACTGTATTGATCTGACATAGAAAAGAATTATGCTTGAATACTACAGGCCCACTGCCAAACCTTGCAAGAATGGGGGTTTAAAAAAAACAAAACTGAATTTCACCATACTGTTTTTACAGAGTTGCCCTTCAGACAACTGCAATTTAAGTCTACACATTTACTTAGTGATTTGTAATTTTTAAGAGTTCCTTCCAACACAATTAATTCGCCTTTAAATAAAACTAATGGACAGACCAAAATGTTAATTGTAGTTAGCTTTAATCAAGGATGACAATTTGATTTAAGATTAACTGCAAGAAGAAATATAGTATAATTCCAGAAACATGCATTTCTGTTGTCTGCAATATTTACAACTCATATAAAGAGATACCATTGTTATTCAAGCTTCTAATAAAATAAATTCAAAAATCTCATCTGCCAAAACATATATCAAAGAAATAGATATATTTTAATAAAATGAAAAAAAAATCCAACCACAAATTTTATTCTGGCTCTATAAACTCAAATTCTAGGTTGTGTTAAAAATAAAAGTGATATTGATCATGAAATCACTGGTTGGTTAATATTTCCATTACCAGGACATCACTCAAATATTTACAGTCAATAAATAAATGTGCATTAAACAATTGAAAGAATAGTTATTCTGGTTTTATTCTACAGTTATTCTAATTTTAGTTTCTTCAGCTAAGAAAGTGTTCATTAAATTGAAATTGTACCAGTGTAAATCACGTCTGAGCAGATCTGTTAAATAATTTCCTACCACAAGAGCAGCAACTGTAGTAGAAAAAACTCAGTACAACAATACACAGCAAAGACATCATAGCGCACACATCCATTAATTCATACTGTAATCATCCCCACTTGTGTAAACACTCCAGTGCAGCCTTTGTCGTCTCCTTCCACAAAAAGTGAACACATGGTCCATACAGATAAATGCTACAGAATACAGTCTTTGACCATGCTTTCCCTTTCCTCACAACACAAAAACAAATTTATATTGGGGCTAATATGACAAGGTGTAGAGCACCCTCCATTTCCAGAAAAGCGACTTGAGGGGATTCAACATCTTACAAAATGGTATTCAGTATCTTGCAGGATTGGGCCCAGAGACCTCTAACATTGTAATGTAGGAATTGTCATTTATAAAATCCTATTTTAAGTTAATAGCATACCTAGTAATAGCATTATTTTAAAAAGATGAGTGAAGTTACTAACTTTCAAGTTACAAGACTCTGTTTTTAAATGAATCATTCTCATTACTGGTATTTATTGAAATAGTTGAGTTTCTTATTTAATGAAAGGTCTATCAATCAGAAGATAGAGAACAAATTTCTTTAACTGTACACAATTGATATACAATTGAGCAACCCTTATATTGTGTGCTACCCAAGTTCTACTTTTACAGATCATCATAAACACATCAGAATTAGGTTCATTTTATTCGATAATTTCATCTTATTTTTTATTTATTAAGAAAAGTAGATGTTTAACTCCTGGATTAACAAGTAATACAACTGATAAATAATATTAAAATCCTGGAATGACATCATAGAGCTAAACAGCAAATAGTCTGAAACCCGTATACAAATCTGATTCCCTTCCACATAACTGTGACAGTTGTAAGTTATATAATTTATTTGTATTAACCTAAGAGATCATAGAGGTACAAGTGCAAAGAGCTGGTTATAGATAACTAATGTCCACATCAGGCAATTTCCTGAACTGATTCCAAAAGGCTGTATTATCCCATGCTTTTTTTTTTTTTTTTTTGGTAAATAAAATTAAGCACTAAAATTCCAGTAGTTCACAGTGACAGATTAAATTTTCCATTTCAAGTAAATTACTCACAAACATAACATGAAGACAAATACTGAAATACTGTAGTTTTTCAGTGAAGAACATATTTAGTTGAGGTGCAACAACTGTTTCATAAATTCATATGTGGTAAAAGCCACAGCCTGCGAAGGTATACAACGAACATAATTCAGAGATAATCCCCGGTATAATCCTCTTCGTATTCCATAGTGCCTATATACATACTTCAGTGTCTGCAACATTGTACTGAAAAGATAAAAAACCCAAGCCCTTTATTCAATACAAAGATTTATTTAATCTTGAAAATTATCTTAATTATAAGACATGTAATGGTAACTTTTTGATTATGAGATAGCTAATGATTGGTGCCCTCCCAAGCTAGGTGAACTCCCCAAAGACTTATCTGCTATCATTCACAGAGCCCACAGAGGTGCTGCAGCCAAGAGCCGGGGACAGCAGTGTCAGGTAACTAAGGATCCCAGGGGATATGTTACTTTAACATGGGTCTCTGTACTGTAGTGTGGATGCCAGAACCCTAGGCTGAGTATAGGGCAGAAAATTCTTAACGTGGAGTTAAAATTCAATGTAGATGCTCAATCCCAAGATTCTCTGATACAGGTCAACTTACTTGAGTTCCAGGCTTACATTGCTGTATACACATAGTATAGATCAAATATCACAGGCTCTCTTATAGTGCACTTTGATAACCATAAGTAGGTGTGAAAACTCCGTAACAGACCATTGTTCAAACCTTTCTATTTACTTCACACTTTTTAAAAAACAAACTAGCATTAATTTGCATGGGGCAAATGGGAGTTGAAGTGCATTAATTTTCTAGTCATTTATAAAGGTTGGACCTCCCTGGTCAGGAAAAGGAGGATCCCCAGCATTCTGGTGGCCCAGGGCTGCTGCCTGCCTGTTAACTTTTCTACCAGTGCCAAGCAAGCTCTGCATAGAAGCCAAAGAAGAGAGGACTCCCAACATTCTGGTGGCAAGAATGGAACAAGAAGAATGCTCAACCAGGCAGTAATAGTACTTCGAGCTATTGTGCTGGCTGGATGCAGTGCTGCTCCTCTGGGATGCATCTGGAAAACTGGAACTTGACTCAAGTTAGAGTGCATGCACATATGAAAGCAACAGGGTCTAGGTCACAGTTTAACACAGACTTGACTTGAGCTCAGTCCTGGGCTTAAATTGTAGATACACCCTCAGTGTCTAACTGTAACTGTATTGTGAATCAGTACTTTGATCACAAGAAAGTTAAGATTAACAAGAAAACAAAAATCACACTGGAGCCAGATCCTGAACCATTTAAGACAATGGAAGTTGGTGACAACAGTCCCCTGCACTCCTATTTAAGTCAAGGAGACTGGACTAGAAGGGTATGTGTACACTGAGGAGCTATTTCACGTCTATTGAAGCAGCCTGTTATTTCAAAATAGATTTAGAAATAATGGGTGGCTTATTCCGAAATCCCAATAACCCTCATTCCACGAGGGTTAGGGGTCATTTTGGAAGAGTGAATTAGTGTAGACCAGTGGTCTCCAACCTTTTTACACCCAATATCACTTTTTAAATCTCCAAACAGGCGAAGATATACCGCCCCGCCCCTTCCTTGAAGCCCCGCCCTCTCTATTCTCCTCCTGTCCACTTGCTATCCCCAGCCCTTACTTACACACTCTGATAAACAGTTTATTTTTAAATTATGTGATGTATAAAATTAAAATCACGTGTTTATAGTTATGAAATAAATGGTCTGTTTTTTATTCATGCTATTTAAATCTAAAATGAAGCATTTATAATTATACATTTTGTGGGGACAGAGTTCTGCAGCGAGGGGCAGGGAAGAGGGAACAGGGTGCTGGGAGGGCAGAGGACAGGGTTCTGCAGCTGGGGACAGGGTGCCAGTGGGGACAGAAATAGGGACAGAGTTCTATAGCTGGGAACAGGGGAGTGGGAACAGAATTCTGTGGCTGGGAACAGGAAAGTGGGGACAGAGTTCGGGGAGTAGAGACAGGGGAGTGGGGACAGAGTTC